AGCTTAAATATATCAGATTAAATTATTATAATGTTTGTTATAATCATATAATGTTTGTTTTTAGTGTATATCAAGACTGTTAAGATATGTTAGGATATTAAGGTATACTTACATGCTTCTTATGAATGCTCTATAAATGCATTATGTAGGGGCACTGAATATTCTATGAATGCATTATAAAGGCATCATGAAGGTGCAGTTAATGTAAAGCGTTACCAAAAACTTTTATAATGAAGTATCTGTTTCGTTCACTGTTAATCTATATCCATGTAGCAGCACAGTGGCTCAGAGGTCAGCACTGCTGCCTGACCCACTTCTCTGTGTATGTGTACAGTTTGCATGTGCTCTCCATGTCATGTGGGTTTAAATCCCCCTCCTCTATCTGTGTGCACTCTGCATGTGCTCCCCATGTCATGTGGGTTTGAGTCCCCCTCCTCTGTGCCTGTGTACAGTCTGCATGTGCTCCCCATGTCATGTGGGTTTGAGTCCCCCTCCTCTGTGTCTGTGTACAGTTTGCATGTGCTCCCCATGTCATGTGGGTTTGAGTCCCCCTCCTCTGTGTCTGTGTACAGTCTGCATGTGCTGCCCATGTCATGTGGGTTTGAGTCCCCCTCCTCTGTGCCTGTGTACAGTCTGCATGTGCTCCCCATGTCATGTGAGTTTCCATCAGTTACTTCAGTTTCCTCCAGAAGCCCAGATTCTCTGTCTCAAGTTAACTGGTGTCTGTAAATTGCCCATAGCATGTGACTGTGTGTGTATGGCCTCCCATCCAAGCTGTACCTCTGCCCTGTGCTGCTTGGGTGAGGCTCCAGGCCCCCTGTGACCCTGCCCACTAATGTTCTTATTAAAGCTGTACTTGTCTGGGTCAGTGTGTGTGTGTGTGTGTGTGGGTCCATGGCTAAGCCTGTGCATTAATGCTCCCCTGCCACCCAGCACCCTGGGTTACCTTTTGTTACCCTATTTATACCTTCAAATTAAGTTTTTTTTTGGCACAGTGTCTGCCATGGGATTTAACCCCTTATCCCCCATGTGACAGGGCTGTGCAGAGCAGCACCTAAAACACAGGACACTCAACACATTTGTTTTGTATTCTCTGTCTGAAATAAATTTTATGTTTGGTAACAGTTTTCTTCTTGTTTCAGTTTTCAACATGTTGGCTTGGATAAAATATTCAGAAGACAGTGAAAAAGTAGGGAAAATCCTTTCCTACATAACAAGAATAACAGGAGTTACATTTCTGGTCATCATGGCTTCATCCATCAGTAAGTCTGTGTATAAGTTCCCATGTGTGCTGTTTGCATGTTCTCCCTGTGTTTGCCCTGGTTCCCTCCATGCAGGGGCTTCATGCACCTCATTTTTTTGTGGGGGTGCAGCTTCATAGGCAACATACACTCACTGGCACTTTATTAGGTACATCTGTTCAGCTGCTTATTGAAGAACATTCACCAATCATATGTCAGCAGCACATTGTATAAAATCATGCTGATACAGGTCTGGAGCTTCAGGGAAT